ACGTAATACACAAAATTAAATATTAAATAACTTTTGTTATCAGTAAATTCAAGAGAAATTCCTAAAAATAGCAATAAAACAAGTTTTATGGACAATAATAGCACACACTCCATTAATTTCCAAAAATAGCACTACTTGATTTACTATGAAGTTTTTGTTCTAAACATATTATCATTAGTTTATTTTTTTAATAATACCACAATTTTTATATAAACGCTATTCAACCAAAATAAATTAGAAATAAATTTAAAATATTATATTTGGGTTTTCTATTTTTAATTTAGGGTATATATTTCAACCATTTAAAAGAAATTTTGATTCATTTTAATATTAGTTTATGGTATTCTATTTGGGTTCCCTAATTCCAATTTAGGGTATATATTTCCACCATTTAAAAGTGATTTTCATTTTTAATATTAGTTTGTGGTATTATATTTGGGTTCCCTATTTTCAATTTAGGGTATATATTTTCACTATTTAAAAGAAATTTTGATTCAATTTAATATTAGGTTAGTGTTTGCTCTCATTTTTATTTCTATCTTATATTTTAATTAAGTTTAATTAAAGTTTATTGTGCTATTTGTGCAATTTTAGAAATATTGTGCTAATTTTGGAAGAAAAACTTTTTTGGCCATATTTTTGTCAATTGCCCTAAATTCAATGAAAAAACTAAAATCGGGACCCAAAATTTATACTGAAATTAAAGGATGTAGGGCAAATGTTATATTCTCATTTATGCACGTCTCTGCATGCAATTTAATGACAGATTTTGGATATGTGTTTTATGTCAGTTTCTTACGAGTAACGTCCATGGGTTGTATACTTTATTAGAGCACCTCCATCTTTTAAATACTCTAAAAGAATATCCCAACGACAATATATTATTACTTTTTAATATAATTTAAATAAGTAATTAAATTTATTTATTTTTAAAAAATTAAGCCATTTATTTGATGACAAATGGCTAGAAAGGTTTTAATGAGTTTTTTAAAAGTTTTCAATGAAGAACTGGTTCTCAATGACTGAATCTCTATATTGCTTTTCTGTTTCTTTTTATTATATTATTCTTTAGATAGTCTATTAGAACTTTTGAATGGAGATGCTGTTATTTTTTGTAGAAGCAATGTTTCAAAAAGAACAGAAGAGAATAAAGGAAGAAATTGAAGTACACGAATATCTCCAAAACATTTTTTTTTTTTTTGTCATTTGAAATTTTATTAATAAAACTTGTGGTGGAACTAAAAAAGAATACAATTACCTTCTAAACAAGAAAAACTAAAAGTCGCGGAGAACATGAAAGTTTTTAAAAATAAAGTTGAAAAAGACGAGATTTTCGTTGAATCAAAACCCTATGAAAAGGAAACTAAAGACAATATAAATAAAAAGCAGAAGTAATTCAACCAAAATCGAAAGAGGCTAAAATCTTAAACTAAGTAAAGAAGCAACCATGCATATATCCTAAGAGAAACAATAGACCAAAGAAAGCAAATAACCTCTTCGATCAAATAACCTCTCAAAACAAAGAAAAAAAATATTATAGCCCAGCAAGCAAAACCACATGATATCATTTTTGTATAATAGATTATATTTTAATGTTCTCTTTTTTTTTTCTTCGGTTATATTTTGATGTTCACTTTATGATTTCGTGCTTAATTTAACATCTTTACAAATTATTATGACGTAACGTTTGACACAGGCATGTTAAGGCAATGACTTCACTGAAAAGTCAAAAAGAGATTATAATGAGATGGGCCTAAATAATCCAGAGCCCATTTTATATAAGCCCATTAAAATTTGAAACTAACCCAATGTGTGTTACTCGCAAAACTCTGTAAAACTTGTTCGATGGAAATAAGGAAGCGGAAGAACGCCGGCGGCGATGGCGACGGTGGCGCGTCGGCTAACGGCGGGGATGATCCCGATTCTATTAGTGTTTTTTCAAGATCTCCGAGGAGGATATTCTTGTTCTGCCTGGCGTTTCGTGTGGTAAATGCAATGTTCATTCAGACTTATTTCAATCCTGACGAACATTGGCAATCACTTGAAGTAGCTCACCGCACCGTCTTTGGGTAAATGTTTGTATTCTATGGTTTTGAATTTGACTTCCCTTGTGTTGAAATTGGATTCGTTGGAACTTATTGAACTGAATTATGAAGAATTCAGTGATTTCAGCTATGATTGTTTTTGTTTTTTGGGTTGATTGATGGTAATGACAGGTATGGTTATATGACATGGGAGTGGAAGAGAGGAATTAGAAGCTATTTGCATCCAATGGTGTTCGCATTCTTGTATAAACTTCTCCAAGTTACTGGCCTTGATACTCCCTACATAATGGTTAGTTTCTGGAATTTTTTGGTCTTATTAGAAGCAGTATCTGGTTATTTTGATTTTGAACTTAGTTTTCTTCAAAATCTGATTTAGTTGAAAGTCTTAACAAGTTTCCAATTGGACTAGTCATGTTGTTTTGGGTTTTTCGCAATTCTACTTCTCACCGTGTTCAAAGAAAGGTTGATAGTATGGTTTATGTGTTACAACCTTTTTCATTTCTTTGCAGATCAAAGCCCCACGTCTTATGCAATCTATTTTTTCTGCTATTGGTGATCTCTATTTGTATAGACTCTCAGATGCTTTATATGGAGGAAATGTTGCAAGCTGGTCTGTATCCTTTCTATGCAGCATACTAAGTCAATTGCTTTATATTTTTGAATGATATGGCTATATGAATTTGCAATCCGTGAGAATTACAAGATTAGACCTTGGTTAGTAAAGAACAAACGTTATCTACAATAATGTAGCCAACCCACCATTACACTCTATTTGGTAGTTTCCTACGATATGATAGGTTGAGGTAAGCGGAAGGGTGTTAAATGTCCCGAGCTTCAATGGAAAACTTAGATAGGTCTGTTTGTGGTTTTCCCTTATTCTTTCTTAATTTCTATTTGCATTTTATTCTGGATTGCTTCCTTAACTTTTTAGTAGCTCTTTTGTCAAATGGCAAACTGGTTCATCTTCTTCTGTTTGAACCGTACCTTTTCAAACTGCTTGGAGACTGTTCTTACAATCATGGGGCTGTACTACTGGCCTTGTATTAGAGATTCTTCAACAGACTATCCCGTGAATCGGAAGTGGGCTTTGGCTATAGCGGCCCTTGCATGTGCCATAAGGCCTACAAGTGCAATCATATGGTTATACGTTGGGATGCTCGAGCTATTTTTGACACCTAATAAGGTCAAATTCATTATGCTAGAGGTGATCCCGATTGGGTAAGTTTAACTCTGCAGATATACTCTTGAATGTTCATTTCAATGTTTGCTTTTGAAGATTTCATTGTGCTAACTTGCTTCTGGTGTTAGATCTTTGGTCCTCGGTTTCACTTGTTTGTTGGACCGTCTGATGTACGGCTCATGGGTCATTGTGCCTCTCAATTTTCTGAAGTTTAATTTCCTTTCATCTGGTGGAGACTATTATGGAACTCACCCATGGCACTGGTACTTCACCCAGGGATTTCTTGTCATGCTTTTCACTTTTACACCATTCTCCATAACTGGAATTTTCAATTCTAAGAATCAGAAGCTTTCAGCTCTTATTCTATGGGCCTTAGCAATATACAGCTTACTCGGCCACAAGGAATTCAGGTAATATGAATGGAGAACGTACCCCGTTTTCTTACACTTTCAATATCGACAACTTCGCAAAGAACATTCTTTCATCATTTATTATGTTTTCCGTGTCGTCTACTTAGATTATGAATGATAGGTTTGTCCTGCCTGTGCTGCCCATAGCTTTGATATTCTCTGGGTATGCATTTGCTCAAATGGAAGTATCTGGTTCATCATCAACATCAGTCACTAAAAAGAAGCAAGTCCCTCGACAGAACCTTACCAAGTGGTCTCCTAAATTAAGACTTTCAGTCTTTTTTTTGCTTGCTACCAATATCCCAATGGCACTATACATGAGTTTATTCCATCAGGTAAAAAACCAATAACTTGAGTGCTCTCTTTAGTTTCCGAGTTTAGTTCACTCTCTCTATGTGTGCTAAAAAGGAATGTTGTTGTTTCCAACAGAGAGGAACCGAGGATGCGATGAACTACTTATCGGATGAAGCATACAAAGGCAGAGTAAAGAGCATTCTCTTTCTCATGCCCTGCCATTCTACTCCCTATTATTCCACTCTCCATCGTAACATTCCAATGCAATTTCTCGACTGCACTCCAAGGTAAAGGATCACACCCCGAGTCACAGCTCTTGCTTCTATTTGAGATTCTTAAGGATTCTTCTTCGTCTTCTCAAACAGTGAAGAGAAGGGACAACTTGACGAGTCAGACCGGTTCTTAGTAAACCCTTTAGGTTTTGCTTCAGAGTTAGCTAGCAACTGGTCAGTGCCGCCTAGTCACATTGTATTGTTTGCATCAGAGGAGACAAAACTCAGAGATTTCATGATCCAACATTCCTTTAAAGAGGCAAGTTAGAAGCAAGAACACAATCGCTCATTTTTTGTTTTTTTCCCCATCTCGACTTTATTTGTTTTATGCATTCATGGACTAAATTTTTTGTTTTGTTGGCAATGAAACAGGTGAGAAGGTTTTTCCACGCGCATTTCAAGGTTGATCGAGATCTTCAATCCTCAGTGGTAGTCTATGTTGTAAACCACACATAGTTTTTCCTTGAGTAAGCATGCTCAAGGTTTAATAATCATTAGCCATTTAGCCTCATCACACTATGGAACCTCTCTGAACTCCTGTGTCTCAAAATCAAACACATCGTTGTTTGTACCTTAAGAGTCTATTCTTGGTTACTTAAAACCCTTTTAATTCCAGTCTGTCCCGGTTAAATGTTTCTACCGAATAACAATGAGTATAGATAGAACAGAGATGTAATTTGAGACTAGTTAATTTCTACGATGACAGGGGTTCTTAATCACGTTCTTTTCCCCTGCCCACAAGTGTTTAGATAAACAGAATCGTTAATTGTTAGTACAAAGACTGTTAATTGAACCTGAACTAGCGACATCACTGAGCATAACTAAAAAATAATAGGACAAAACAGTGCAGAGAGATTGAGTACAGAACTGGATATAGCTATCAAGGTTTTTGCCACCTCAAAAGACAAAAGAAAGCTGATTTTGGTGTCATTGACATCTTTTCATTTATTGCTATCATTGAGTGTACTATAGTACAAACTGTGGGGTTGTTTTGGAAATTAAATGGCTAATAAACTAATGATGAAACAAAACAACACTCTAGCTTAACTTGCTTCCCCTAATAGTGAAATTAACATGGTAATGTTGAACAATTAATGAAGCTCCTCTAACCGTAATCAAACCAAATTTAAATTTGCAAGCAAGAGGATATTATTAACTAGTAAGATTGAATATTTAGAGTAGCTACTACTCACTAAAATGAGCTTATACGTTCATGGTTCTTCGGATCTTGAATGTGTTGTTTGTTTTGGCCCATTGAGACTCTGTTTTTACATATGACTTTAACTTCCAAAGCTACCAAAACTCTCTATATAGGCTTTCTAAGAAAAATAAAAGACAAAAAGCAAAATGCTACTTTCTCATTAGCTATACGAAGAGAAAGGACAGAGAAGACAGGTTCGTATGTAGAAAACACATTAATTGTGTTCTGCTTCCGTTGCACTCTCTCACTTTAATCTTGTTAAGAATTCAATTTCTGACTTTTGTCTTCCTAAGAGAAGAACCTTTTGGACCAGAACACCTCCGGCTCCCTTCTTGGTAAGAGTCTCTCTTTTTTGTTCTCAATGTCTCTTAAACTTTGTAGCTTTCGTATTTATTTTGCCTAATTCGTTTGTTCTATTTCTCTCTCACACAGTTTCTACATCCTCCATGGCTTTAAGTGATGTGTTACCTCGTTTCTTCAGTGTTTTTCTTTCCCAGTACAACTCCAACTCCTTTGTAAGATTTATCTATGAATTTTTGTCTGACTTAACTAGTTTCTTGGAAATATATGTTTTGTTCATATGTTTAGTGGTGTATGTGAGTTAGATCTAAAACAACATTGTAACTCTCTAATGTGCTAAAAACTTTCAAAAGTAGAGACTAATTTTTCTCAGATTTTTCTCTCCTGTTGAAAATTTGAAGAAGAGGCTTTGCTTATTTATGTGTTGAAAGCCTCTGTTGCAGACATAGTCTCTAGTTTGTGTTTTGTTGCTGATCAGTCACTTTTAACAGTTTAATTTGTGTTGAGCAGCTGATACCAAGATCTTACTACGACCACTTACCACGTCGGTTGCCCAAGACTGTGATTCTCATGGGAAATGGTGGAAAGAGTTGGAAAGTAGCAATGAAGAGCAAGCGAGATCAAGTGTATTTTGAACAAGGTTGGGCCAATTTTGTGGCTGAGAACGAGCTTAGAGATGGAGAAGTCTTAACTTTTGTGTTTGACGGTCACCGATGTTATGAAGTGAGTATATACACTCGCGGAGGTTGCAAGGAAACTCGAGCAGCCATTGAAGTGGAAGAAATCTCTGATGAGACAGCGAGTGACTATAGCTGCGATTCTATTGTTAGTGTCATTCAAGTGTAATAATTAATTAATGATCAGACAGAGAAAAAAAAAAAAAAAAAAAAGATCGGACAGAGAGTGACACCTGTTTTTTAACTTCGTGTCGTTTTGGGTTGGTTTAGTTTTACATTGATAGCCCAAAAAACGCCGTGATGTTGTATTTGTTTTTGTGTGAACAACGACGATACAAATCTCCAATTTTAATTAGACACGTGCGCACTTGAACTGATCTCGTGACTCTAAGATACTATAACTTGAAACAGAACTCAACCCTAAATCGTATCCGTAATTTTTTTCCGATGGAGATTCTTCCGATTCCGGCGGAGAGCTTCAAGGTAGGATTCATCGGAGCTGGTAAAATGGCGGAGAGTATAGCTAGAGGTGTGGTTGCTTCCGGTGTGCTTCCTCCAAATCGTATCTCCACCGCCGTTCACTCAAATCTCAATCGCCGTGATGTTTTCGAATCCTTTGGCGTCAATGTCTTCTCCACTAGCGAAGAGGTAAGTTCTTCTTCAATGTCTTGTTGTTGTTGTTGTGGTGTTTAACTAAATTGAGACTGATGATCTTCAAAAAAATGACAGGTTGTTAAAGAAAGCGATGTTGTCATATTCTCTGTGAAACCCCAAGTTGGTATATATTTCTTACCTCTCCATTGTTTCATCAGTGTAATTTTTGTTTACTTAAAGCTGGTACCTTTCATATGTAGTTAAGAAGGCTGTCACGGAATTAAAGTCGAAGCTTTCAAAGAGTAAGATTCTGGTTTCGGTTGCAGCTGGAATCAAGTTGAAAGATCTTCAGGTTTTGCATCTTTCTACTCTTATACTTTTGCCATTTTAAGTTTTCACTATCCATGGTGTTGCAGTGTGAGGTTTTTTTTTTTTGCATCAAACATGTTTCTAGAGCTCAATTTGGTTAAATAGCTTAAATGTCTCTTTTTATTTCTCTATGTTAGGAATGGTCTGGTCAGGATCGATTCATAAGGGTGATGCCTAATACACCTGCCGCAGTTGGTGAGGCAGCTTCAGGTTGTTTATCAGAGTCTTCCCATTTGTGCTATTTCTGAATTTTGTTTCTGATTTCTGTTTCTCTCTGAAGCTATCAAATGCTTACATTTGCCAATTTTTTTGTGTGTATATAGTTATGAGCCTCGGCACAGGAGCAACGGAGGAGGATGGAGCGATTGTCGCTAAGTTGTTTGCCGCGGTGGGGAAGATATTGAAAACTGATGAGAAAATGTTTGATGCTGTCACTGGTCTCAGGTACATACAAGCACTGCGGCTTCTAATATGCTTGAGTTGTTCAATTCACTAATCAAGAAAATTTCAAACTTTTTACAGCGGAAGTGGACCAGCATACATATTCTTAGCAATTGAAGCTTTAGCTGATGGAGGAGTAGCTGCTGGTTTACCCCGAGAGCTCGCATTGAGTTTAGCTTCACAAACCGTCAGTGAACTTCCACACCGCTTCTTTAATCTACTTTATTATGGTAGTGAATAACCGAAACTAGAAAGCGAAGCTTGAGCTTTGAGGTTTTTTTTTTCCTCTGACAGGTTCTTGGAGCTGCAACAATGGTTAGCAAAACTGGGAAGCATCCAGGTGTGTTGAAAGATGATGTCACTTCACCTGGTGGCACTACAATAGCTGGAGTTCATGAACTAGAGAAAGGCTCTTTCCGGGCAACACTTATGAACGCAGTTGTTGCTGCAGCTAAACGAAGCCGCGAGCTCTCACAGAGCTAAATGATATATATATATATGTACTTCTGCTATTGTTTCACCTCACAGATTCATCAAAATAAGGGTTATGGCATTGCTTGTTTTCATCCCACTTGTCTTCGATGGTAGAGGTAAAGATTATTTATCTAGACTATGATGTATTGGTTCAGAACTCGGATACTTTTTTTCCTTAGTCTAATAAAAGCCACTTTTCAATTTTGGGTTCAATATCTGACCACTAAGCCAAAGCCTCCGACATGATTCTGATTCTAAAAAGAATCAATAAAATTAAAGAATCTTATGCTATGAGTCATAGCTTAATCTAGTGAAACTTCAACAAGGAATAAACATATACTGCATATCTAGAAGACTGGATCTTCAAAGAATCCGACCAATTTTGCATAAAACCAAAAGACTCGAGACTATCTTACCAAATCTTGGTATAGAATATATACACATAAGAAATAAGGAAAAAAGTACTGGTGAAGACTGAAGAGAACCCACAAAAAGAAAATATAACCCAGAAAGAAGGCAAGAGTTTTAATAAGACGGCATTCACTTTTTTTATCGGTCCATAATTTGCCAATATGGTCGATCATGCCGGAGAATACCATGTAAAACCGTATGACTCATAGCAAACGGTTTTAAAAAAAAATTGTAGTAGAGAAGGTTTATAACTGAGATGAAGATGATGAACCTGTGGTAACCAAACCCTCCCGAGCATTGACAGTCACAACATTGGTGACACGAAGCACGGCTTGTGCGCTAAGAGCCGACAGTTTTGACTGGCAGAAGATTTCCCAAGTAACTGGCCCTGCCTCCGCAATTTGCTCTTCTTCTGGTGATGATGAGGATGATGTTTCAGGGTTGATGAGAGGATGAGCTTTTTCATATACGGTCTGAAGTTCTAGCAGGACGGTCCGTGCAGCCTCACGGGATTCAGGGAGCTGATCGCTAAGCTGAGACGCGGCTGCTTGAACTAGTTTGTCGATTCCATATTCTTTGATCCCTTCAACGCCCTGGAATATGTATTATAGCGTAAGGAATTGTTGGAATTTTTACATAACACGCTGTGCCTTTGTGAGAGATATACGGGAAGAACAGAAGTTGAACTTGTATTACCAGTCGAGGAACACTTCGAGAAAAGCATAATGATGCTTTAGCACGGATCCGAGGATTCCTGTTCTTGAGACAAGGTTGCAGCTTTGGTAACAGCAAGGTTGGAGAAACATATTTGGTCATTGCTGTTAAAGCTTTCTCTGCTGCCTCGCAAACAAACCGTTTGTCTTGGGAAGACTTGAGGAGGAGTTGAGTAAGCTGAAAGCATAAAGTATAAAGTGTATAAAAAGCTGTAAGAAAAAGTACAGTTCAGAGTGAAAGAGTGAAAAAGGATAGAAGAGTTACCAGAGGCTCCAACAGATCTGTAATATGATTATTATATGCACTGAAGATATCTGCAGATGTCATGCATGCCGTTTTACACACCGCACTTCTTGGATTTTTCAGGGACTTCACAACAAGTGGTATCACTTTTTCACTGTTAACGGGATATGGTGAGACTTGCATTTTCCAATCTACTTTAAGAGATAATTAGTCAGAGACATCAGCATAGAGAACAAAGCTTACAGCATATGCAACATTGCTTCCTTGTGGAATATCGAAAGCCGGCGAACGTTATTAAGAGCATCACAGACTGAAATCCAATCCTTGGACTCGAGTCCAGCTAAAACCGACTGAAACAATAAGACCAAACAGATTCGTCTTGGCATAAAAAATGGTAGTTCCAATCTCCAAATAGACGGGTATAACAAATTCATCACGAATTGATGTAACCACAACACAGAAGCACAAACAGAAGAAATACCTTCAGAACTGTATCAGCATCGTCTACATTATCCAAGTTTTCGGAATCAATATATTCAACTTCCACAATAGCTTTCTCTGGCTCGGGTTTCTCTGCTTCTGCAACTTTAGGGTCACTGGAATCCAAGGAGGCAGAGTTTGGTAATGGTCTATCTTCAGATTTTCCATTCATTTTGCCAACACAAGGCTTGGTTAAGCTAGCTTTACAGTCACTTATCTTCTCAGTTACATGAAGACTATTCATATCTTTCAAAGTATTACTGGCCATACGTGAAGTTACCTGCATAAAAACAGGAAAAAGAGATCACCATCAAAACTAAATACAGACGTGATAGAGAAAAGCATGGATAAAATAATTAATCAGTGCAAGGTCAAGTAAACTGCAGGAAGAAATCTAAAACTTAAAACAACGAAGACCAGAATCATAATCAATTCTACATATCTAACACATTCTCCAAATTACTTCCTTAAAACTCAGAGGATACTGAATTTTCGTGAAACTGTTACACAAAGCCTAAAATGAGACACTCAAATCCGTTTCAAGCTCATCACATAGCAATAGATCTTTAGAAATTGCACACAGATCTCGATGAATTCGAGTCTACAAAGCTTGAATCAGGCAAGAAACTCCACCAGCAAACAGAAGATTAAGAAGTCTGATTCAAGCTTTGTAGATTCATGTCAATGCAATTTCAAACCAAATCAAATAATAAGACACTTAAGCGTTAAGATCAGCTCTTCAGTCTCTTCCTACACTCAAATATTTCCTCAATTTTAGGGATAAACACACAAGAATCTCAAAAGCAAGAAAAATAGTTAAATGCCATCAATAAAGAAGTGAAAAAATCTGAGTAAACTCTACTTGTCAACTTCACAGAGTGTTGAATAAGAACAAAGCGGACCAATTCAACAGCCAAAACGAAACATAGCATAGATCTACATTTCGAACTCGAATTTCCAAGCAATTTAACAATAACACGATATCACTCAAGAACTCTCAGAAGATCTCAATTAGTTTCCAAAAGACCAAAACAAATCCTCGCGATTCCAAATCCGATTCAGATACTTTTCACCGGCTGACAAATTCTCAAATTACAGAGATCAAATGATTATCGAAACCAGTTCAAATTTGCAAATGCGTATACAAAAAATGGAGCTAGAGAAATTTACCGGCGAATCAAAGCGGTGGCGAAAACGCAGCCTCTGAGTTGAGAAAAACTGACGGCGGAGTAGGGAAAATCTGTGGACTCGCAAGAATCGCCGACCTTAAAAATCTATATAAGGAAATGAAATTTTGAAATGCGAGAGAAAATAGAGAGAAGCGAAGGAGAAATTTTAAGAGAGAGAGAGAGAGAGAGAGAGAGAGATTTTATTTTGTAGAAGACGAAAATTATAAAAACCGGCGATGCGATTTGATGCACTTTCACGAGTCGTATTCATATGGTGTAGTTTCGAACGACGTCGTATTCGTATGGTGTGAATTTGAAACGTCGTCGCATATTAGAGTTATGTGGGACCCATATGCACAAGAGTTTATTTGTCGGTTTCTAGTTACCATATGCGATATGGCCTCGCGGTTGAAATTAATGTTTTTTTTTCTTGTTCACATTATTCCCAAGAATATCT